GAAGTGATAGCAGAGCTGTACGTTTTAATTTGTTCAGAAATCTCTCAGTCAGAACATGGCATATCATGTTTAGGTGGAAACTAGCGAGCTAACTTCCTGCTAACTTCTAACTCTGTTAAATGTAATAAGTTCAGTTTTCATGGATGCCTGGATGTTAAACTTTATTGCTGATCATTTTATTAAAGATGAAAGAATTTAGACAGTTTTTAACTAATGCCGCAGTGTTCGTTTGACTTTGGGACCTGAAGTGGAGTTTGGACCTGGATTACTCCGTGAGGATCGTGACTACGGTAGCTGTAATGCTTCGACAGCGGCTTCGTCGCTTACCAAAGCCGTACTAAAACATTTTTGACAGATTTTTTGAGCACTGTGTACCACATAAAATCAGTCCGGGGTCAGTAAGCACAACCAGATCTCATACATAAGGCGCACCGGATTATAAGGCGCACTGTTGATTTTTGAGAAAATTAAAAGATTTTAAGTGCGCCTTATTTTGTGAAAAATACGGTATATTATCTTTGCTAGAGGATTACCCGCTCGTTGCACTGCTCATGTTAGATTGTGTCTGTCACTACTAAAATTAACTGCCTGTCTTAAAGTGTTCAAGTTAGTCTAGTGTTAGTAAATGTATAGCTATAGTACAGTCTCTACAATCATGGCTGTACTAAGGACAACTACATAAGGGATTACAGGATATATACTCAGAATGTGGTACTTGTTCCAGCAAAAATTTTAAGCTTCTTCTGTTGTTTACCTGAAAGGATTCTTGGTATGAATTGTTAACTTTATGATTTAAATTGTTTATAATTAATATTCCCAAAATTAAAAGGTGAATGGACTACTTCTTACATAGCGATTGTCTTCTCTTGTTGAACACTCAGAGTATTTTATACAACATGCCTCATTCACACCCAATCATACACGTACTTTTTTCTATGCTTTTTCTACTTAAGTGCATTCTATCAAACATTTACACTCCACTGAACAAATCAGAGAGAAACTTGGGGTTCAAGTTCTTACCCAAGAATACTTCAGCACGCAGACTGGAGCAGCCAGGGATCAAACCACCACCAGATGTCCTGCTCTACCTCCTGAGCTACAGCCACCACTAATTAATGAGCTGTAGTTTTTAGCGCTAATTACAAGCTTTGGCATGCTATTGGAGGCTAAATAAGCAACATGTTAGCATTTAGCTAACTATTTAATGTATTTTCTTGTCTTTTTATTTTGGAATTTTTACAAGTACACTGAACATGTTTATTGTTGTTTGGTATTTACATGCACAAAAACAAAATAAACACTTCATACTTATATACAGTATGTGTGCTGGCACATAAATACACTCAGTTATACAAGGGGTTTGTACAGTTTGGAAAAGACCTTTGTCTTCCTTTGTTTAACTTTCAACCAAACCAACCATGACACCAACAAACCCATCATCAGTGTTTCCACGACAACAGCTTTATCACGCCCAGAGTTCACATACATACAAATGTGATTCCTGTGCTATTGTAATCTCTTTTCATCGGCTCAGTCATGAGTACAATCACAATAGATATGCGTGTCCTTGGGAGAATTAATATATCCAACCATAAAAAAAAAGAAGTGATTTTCCTTCACACCTCCGTTGTGCCATGGTCCCTGGGTGGCGTAGACAGGAAATAGGAATGACTGCTTCCTGCCTGAGCCAGCTTTGAAGGCAGTGTATGAGGGACAATCTCATGGCGAAGCAATGTTCCTGCGCTTTCAGCAGGCTCTTTGTAATATGTGATTTACAGTTTCCCTCTTGCTGTTTCATCTGTGATTTAGTGTTTCCCGGTCAGATGGCTATCAGCTGTCTTACATGTCCGCTCTGGTCCTGCGGGACAGTACATGGAAAAAGAGAAGCATAAGATTACTTAATGCTACAATCAGGATCTTGCTGATCTGCATTTTTAATGGATAACAATATTGATCTACACTGCTGTTAAAAATGAATTGATTTCTTAGTTTTTTTGCACATTTGTCACACTTAAATGTTTCAAATCGTCAAACAAATTTAAATATTAGACAATAGTTACTGTACTAAAAACGTAAATAAAAAATGTAGTTTTAGAATGATTTCATTTATTGAGAAAAGTAATAAATAAATATAAATTACTCAGCCCCAAAACCTAATAACTAGTTGTGCCACCCTTGGCAGCAAAAAAGCAGTCAAGGGTTTTCAAACATAAATGTTTAAGGTCATGCCAAAACATGTCAATCTGGTTAAGTTCAGACTTTGGTTAGCCCACTCCTAAATCGTACTTTCCGTGTTATTTTTTGAGCCATTCAGGGGTGGACTTGCTGCTGCTAAATAACCCAAATACACTTGAACCTCAGGCCTCAAACTGGTGGCCGGACATTGTCTCTAAGGAGTTTCTGGTAGAGAGCAGAATCCAATTATGGCAATTCATCCATGTCCTGAAGCAGCAGAGGAGCCACAGACCATCACACTACCACCACCATGTTTGACTGTTGATATCATTTTCTTTTCTTTTCATTTTTGCCCAGTCTCTTTCTTATTGGTGAATCATGAACACTGACCACATGTGAGACTAGAGAAGCCTGCAGTTCTTTAAATGTTGCTTTGAGCTCTCTTCTGACCTTCTAGAGTTGTCAATGCAATCTTGAATGAGTTTTCTCCATTTGTGGATAATGGCTTCTACAATGGTTCAATGGAGTCCTAAAGCATCACAAATGGCTTTGTAACCCCCTTTCAGACTAAAGTCCATCCCTTTGTTTTTGTTATCTATTGTCTGTTCTTGAATTTCTTTACATTGTGGCACGATGTGCTGCCTTTGGAGGTCTTTGAGCTTTCTTTTCTTTGTCAGATAGCCGGGTATGGCTAGTGAAGTTGAACTCAGATTTCCAAAACATTTGATTCATTATTCATAATTTAATGAGGTGGGCATGTTTTTCTTCCCACACAGGGTCAAGTAGGTTTGGATAGTGTTTTTTCCCTAATAAATAAGATTATTATTATTTTAAAATAGTGTTTTATATTTACTCTGGTTATTCTTGTCTAATATTAAAATTTATTTGATGATCTGAAACATTTAATTATGAAAAAAATGCATAAAAGGAAGGAATCGGGAAGAGTGCAAATACTTTTTCATGGCTCTGTGCTTTCTGAGGAACGCCGGAGACTTTAGCGTTACACTGCCTCTTGCTGCCCCTCTACAACACACGTTCCTGATAATACTCAGCACTTTCCTCCAGCTTAACCTCTGACCTTGTCCCTTTTTTAACCCTCAACCTTACTATAACCTGAACCCCATCGTAATTCCCTGAAACTATAAATCTCAAACTAACCTTAAATTAAAGGCTGGGGTGATTTAGAGGTCAGCACTTTTATCCTTCACCTGTCTTCTAGTTCAAATTTCACCTATTGATTTTTCCCCTCAACGTTTCAAATCAGTTTAGAAACAGCATTAAATTTTGTGAGTATTGCATTTTTTTCACTTAGTCTTGACATTAACTTGACATCAAAACAGACTTTTGATTAAGACATAAATGAGTTGACGCTCACATTTGTAACTGATCTTTGGCCCCAAAGCTGATTGTACTCACTCGAGACAGTTGTGTTTTACACCAGACAAACTGCAGCTCATATCAGAAGCATCGCAGAACCGACTCTCCACTCAGCATCGATAAAATTTGTACCAGGTCTTTTTTTTTTTAGGGAAACTGCAGATGAGGAGGGAGGAAATCAGACACAGGAATGAAATAGAGCTGATTTTCAGAATAAAATACTATTGCATACTAAACACTCTGCTTCTAAAATCCTCCTCTTGTGATATAAAGCCACGCATGGAATAGAGCAAACCATGTTGAAGACATGACGTCAGAAACATTGTGACTTGTATTCCCAGGGTATTCCCAAGGCTGCGGAGTGATGATTTCCTGGAGAAGTTCAGATATGGTAAAGGAAGCACATATGGCAGATACACTGACTTCCCAAATGCAGGACAGTGGAGGCATAAATGCTGAACCAATAGCTTTTAATATTAAGTTAATGTGAAAGCTTTAAAAACGTCAGGGTCAAAATAAGAATACAAAGGAGAGCAATCAAACCGAGGAATGTACTTGTATCTTCGGTCCCTAGATAAATATGGATTATAATGATAATATTAAAGTATACTTTAAAAGGTTTTATGTTCTTTGATTTTTCTTTGTAATTATTATTTGAGGTTTGGACTTTTTCACACTTCACGTTTTCTGGTTTCAGTGGATTTAGTTTATTATCCACTTTATTCTTTTAACTACTCCTGTGTCTTTTTTGTTTCCTGTGTCATTGTCTTGTTTACAACTGTGTCTTGTTGCCCCAGCTGTTACCACTTCCCTGATTACCTCATGTATATATTACTATTCCTGACCTTCCTCTTAGTCTCTTTCCTAATATCTTGTATCCCCTCTGGCGCTCCGTTTCCTGGCTACCAGTGAAGACGTTTGTATTTCAGTTTGGTCCGGTTTTTGGATCAACTTTATTAAAGGTTTACTTTTGTTTGAATCCTGCACGTTGATCCTTAAACTACGATAGACGAACACATTCACCCCTCTCCCTGATGAATAATTATGTGATTTAATTGGTGTGGGATTTGATTTGAGGTTTGTTCCATTAAATTGCTTTTCCTGAAGTAAAACTTGGTATTTTATTGCATTTTCATTGTCCACTTGGAACAGACAGTAAGGAAAAAGGAACTTAGTTTGAAGTTCTTTTTTCTCTCATCCACAGTCCAAGCTTGCTCATTTTGACCTTTGACCTTATAGCTGTTCAACCAGCTTCATTTGGGGATTTATTATTTTTTTCCATAAGAAATTTCAACAATAGCCCAGGGCTCAACTCTTATTCGGTCACATTTCCATGCTTATGGCACAAACATTAGTTAAAGGAGCTGTTGAATGTTTACACAGTAGAACAAACTCAGCAGCAGAGGTCTCATAAACATACGGTGACCACCGAGTCTGCGCTTCATCTCTACAGTTTATCACTCAGTGGAAGGAGACAAATGACAGGAAGGAGCAGAAAGAACGATGACAGGAATGTGAGAAAGAGCGAATGAAAAATGATCTAGGTAAGTTAGAGGATTTGGAGTGAGAAGAAAAGCAACTTTTGGCAGTTGCTGTGATGGTTTTTGAGTCTCTGTTGTTCACCCTAATTATTACAGTGTATACAGTTTCAAACAAGTCTCAGCCATGTTAACAATCAGCTCATTAAAACTAAAAAATAATATAAATAGTTGATATTTTTCCATGGAATACCCTTTACGTTGCATGTTTTTTTTCCACTGAGATAGCAGAAGGAGTCTGCAGCAGCAGCACATTAAATAAAATTGAATAAAAATAAAGTTCAAATATAAAATTCACAGCACTTGAAGAATTTTTTTTTCCGGCAGTCCCACTTTTTTCAGTATATATTGGAGGCTAAAAGCGATTTTACTTTCATGAAAAGAAAGATTTGGCTATACTGCTAATGAGGGCGGTGGTGGCTATTTCCTGAGCTGACTGTTTGCTTTTCACCGAGGCTTTTTGGGGACATTACCAAGGTAGAGAAACGAGTTCAGGTCCAGGATCTCTGAGAAGAGACATCCCACTTCTTTCCAAAAAAAAAGCTGAACAGATGGACAGATCCAAGAAATATGTGCCTGATCCAGGGAAACCGATCCTCACTCCCACCATCAGAATCAGATTCTTCAAGCAGAAATCTGTCCAAAAACAAGGATTTATTGGAAGCCACGTTTCCTCTAATATTACTCTATCAGTTTAGTTTTCCAAGTCTTGTCTCTTGCCGTTGGTTCATTTTATTTCACTAAGAAGAAGTGCTTGTTTGATTTTACTATAATGCATTTAATATTTTTTAAAGTTTGGACTCTTTACCTCCACCAGATCAGATAAGAGTTTCTGAAACCGTTCCTTTAGCATGCGGTTGCAGTGTAACCTAAACCCTAGCTCTAGTGCTTCACTGGTGACCTTGTGAATGTTAAGAGGTTAAGTATGTGAAAATATCTAAACTGTTGAAGTTGGAGCAACTTATTTCCTTTAAAAGAAAATAAATGGTGGATCAGCACATAAATCCTCTCTGTCCAGATCAATAGATTCACATAAACCCTGCAAATTACTTTGATTTCCAGCTGTTATTATTTGGCAAATGTGATGCCTTTCTCTGTCCGTACCTTTGATCTTGTCACGCTGGAACAAAGCATGGATCACTGGATGCTGGCCAGCTCAGCAGTTTTATTTCTCTGTGGAGATGAATTCTTTTTCTCTCCATTCAGTCTAACACTGAGCACATCATCAATATACAAAAAAAAA